TTTCAAATAAAAAAAATAATGGTTTTTAAGATAATTACCAAAATACTAATTTTAAAAAGTTTTAACATCCAGTAACTCTAAAACTATGCATTTCCATACCTATGTTTATAGAAAGTTTTTTTCATATTTTTTGATGAGGAACCAATGAGTTCTTATTTCAAACTTTCGCAAGTTAATGATATTATTTTTTTTAAAGGTTGATATTAGACTTGGATCAAGGCAAATTAATAAAATTGGGTTTATCTCATCAAGGAGGCCGAAATCGACAAAATATATTTTTAATCGACATTAAACTGCTTACACTATTTCACTAACAAGAGAAAAAAATCAGTGGCGTACATGTTTTTTTAGAAAAATATTCCAGTGTTAACCCATATGCACGTCGCTGGTGAACATGTCGACACATTTTTAAATTTAAATATGTCGCATTTATAGTAACTTTTACCCTCAAAATTTCATTAGAAACGCTAAAAGTGCTTGGAAGAAAAGTATAATAAATCGAAAAAATATTAAGACTTTAATACCCTGTAGCTACGAAACAAAGCAGAATCAGATCTATGTTGATGTGAAAAATAAATCTTAATTTTTACGAGAGATGGCCCATGTTTTTTGAAACACCCTGTAGAGTAATAATTATATTTATGAAATATGGATTTGGCACACCCAATATAATAGATTGAAATCTATAGTAAAATTTAGTGCGTAATATTGTAATATTTAAGAACATTTATTACATAAATATAAGCATAAATATAAAGCCATGTAATATTTTTCGTTGAATCTCGAGACTGCATCCTAAGCTCTGTCCATTTTCATTTGTGAAGAAAAGACTGACGTCAATTTTACAAGTTTTATAAACTTGACGTTAGATTTATAACAATTGTCTTAGAAAGAATATTTTAGAAAAATATATGTACGTTTTCCCCCAAAGTCATTGTATACTTAAGAAATCGCGTGCAGAGATTTATTGACTATTATTTTCACTATTACCTTCCCATTTAAAATACTCAGTTATTTTTTTTACTAAACTAAAGAAGCTAATTTTATTATCGTCTTATGGTATTGTAAATTTTTAATATAGAAAATATAAAGCGACTCAACCAATCGTAAGAAAACTAATTGTCAGAAAACCACTGCATACTCTCTCAGTTTTAATTTTTGTAGGTATGTATATAGAGGCAAAAGTGTGAGTGTGAGATAATTGAGAAGATGTTGAATGCGAGTCGTGCCAATATTATCTTATATACATGTAATAAAAAAACTGAATGCGTGTTACTAATTAAAGTACGTGTTTGCACCACTTAAATTGAGTTTAATTCATTATATATAATCGATCTTATGAGGATTATTAGCACTGTTGTGTACCATCAACCCGTCACCATACATATACCATGAGAGCCAGAATTTTTGTACGAGATTTTAACAGAAAACAATAACAGAAAAACGATTTCTGTTCAACAACATTCACGAAAATGATTTGGAGTAAAATTTGAACAGCCATATACATATCCAACTTTTTTTAATCGACAGAGAATTTGATGAAAGGATATTGAGAACGATATATAGGAACAACTGAAAGAGAGATACCTAAAGTGTCAAAGATTCTGGCTCGGATCACCTCTGTATTCGTTACCATTAAGTTATTTTATTTATTTTTGTGTTCATATAAATATAGGTTCAAAATTTCATTTTTAAACGAATTGCTCTTAGAAAATGTTATGTGTCTGTGGTATGTCAAAATTTTATTTAAGATTTTTTATTTAAATAAAATTCTATAGAAATAACTATGGTTTTTATTATTTATTCCCTTTATTCCTAATTCTGTTAAAAAAATATTTAATTAAGAACCTAGACATGATTTTGAGAATCAGATATATTTAATAAAAAATGTCTATACCTATGTGGCGGATTCATCTCCCCAAAAAATCCTATATGGGTATTTCGCCACTGCAAGAAAATCTACAAAATAAAATAGTTTGGTTTGGTAAGTATATTAACTTTTCTTTGTAAACACTGCTGCGTTAATCCAAACGGAAGCTACATGTCAGCAGTTAGGTTTACAGATATACAAATCTGTCTAACGAACAAAAAAATGCTTAACGTTTCGGAAAGTTTTCCTTCCGTTGTCGGAAGCAAAAAAAATACAAAGAATAAAGAAAAAAACAATTAAAAATATTAAATTCAACTATTCGAGAACACTTTAGTTTTTTAAAACATATACGTCTACAAAAACCGTTGACGTTCTGTTAAAATGACATAGAGAGAAGACCAGGCTACTAGTAACATAGCAAGTTGCCGGACGAATTTACGTTTACCCAATTTGCGTTCGTACTCGAGATTCACTGCCGGCTAGTCGGGTAGTCAGGCAGTACGCAGTTGTAGTTGTGCTTGGATGGGTCGGTCGTGACAGACTAGGAATACGACGGCTTCTTGTGTTTTTGTGGGGACACGCACCCATGTGTTTCAAAATTATTAATAACTCTTGATATAGTAGGTAAAGATAGAATTGCCCTGTTTACAAAAGTTTGTGGAAAAATTGTTTGTATATTCCGATAAGACCTATTTTGGAAATACCATTTTACAATTTGAATTTTCTCACGAACTTCGTAAACATCCATTATTTTACTTAAAAATAAATTTTACACGAGAACTGTCGCGAGAATCTATGTATTCGTTTTGGCTATTAAAACACGAATAAATACAAATTATGAAACATTCTTATCACATATCTACCTATTTTTATTTTATCGCATTTTTTCGCCTGCTTTTTATTCGGCGGACGGGTATACGCTAATTCGTCCGGTTCTGCCTATGTTATTACTACGGTGGTCCGGTCTGTATATCAAGTTAAACTTAAAAATAAAAAAAAAACGTCACGTTAGTTATAGTACCGTATGATCGAGAAAAAACGGCGTCAGCGATGGCTATGGAATGAAGATCGCTGTCATTTTATATGTAAATTTATATGGGATATGTCATTGATGTTCATTTCCCAGCCAACTGGACGCCGTTTTTTTTCGATCATACGGTACTTAGTTGTATAGCCTGATATATAGTTACAGTAACCCTTGTATGTTAAACCAAATTGAAATTTGACCCGAAAAGTTACACAGGGTGAGACAAAATTAATATGAAACATAAGACTTTTAAAGCAAGTTACTCCTTTATTTTAAATGGAACACCCAGTATATTTTTACGGTGTTTAATGAGGTATTTATATATCTTCAAAATATTATTAGGGTTGCTTACCCCTCAGACAAATATTTTCTTAGATATTTTAATTTTTATGATTTTGCTTGAGTAGATCTTTATTATTTAAAAAAAATCTAGGGTGGCTGTGTGATACACCTTTTGTTAATTTAACAAAAATTAAAGATCGTGGAGTAATAAAATACTCTATGGTAATACCATATATAAAGATACACGTTTAAAACATATTTTAATTATTACAGAATTAAAACTAGATATAAACTTCTAATTATGTGATAAAAATGAGCTAGATGATTTCCTCTTAACTGCATATAATGATGGTCTTTTCAAAAAGATCTTTTCATTTTAAAAGGCATAATATGTGGAGTTCTACCTCGAAAAGCAGTTACAGTTTAACTTCTACAGGGTGGCTCACCTTTTTAGAAGGTGAGATAATCCTAAGATCTCTTTAGAAGGTTTACATAATGCTAAGATATTATTTAACGTCTCGATAGTTTCAGTTTTAACAAAGGAATAATATAAAATTAACAAAGGAATAATAAAAAAAAATAGAAAAATTTTATATTTTAGAAAGTTTGGCATAGAATTTTGAACACCCTGGATAGTTTAAGATTATGATATTGATACCAAAGTAAGTACAGACCAACAATAGTAAATATTTAGTATAGTTTTGATTTCAGAATATTTCTTGTATTTTTTATATTTTTTTTAAAAAAGGCTGAAAACGCTTTTTTTATTTATTTATGAATATCTCTGAAACTATCGAAATATATTTAATAATATCTCAGGATTATGTAAAGAGATCAAAAAAGAAGGCAAAAATACAATAATATACAGGGCTAATGAGAGACTCATATATACAAGTATTTTTATGTTATATTCGCGGCAAGTTTTTGATAGGCACCCAATGAAAAGTGTATTCTCCTATTAATACACATAGAGTCACTGTTTGATCGAGCTCGAAACAACAATGTAGAAATTAGTTTAGTAAATTTTAAAAAAATCTTTTTTGTTTTGTGTTTAAAGAAAAGTAATGTTGTTGGATATTTATTTTAATATTTTATAAAGGAAATGTCCTTGTATTCCAATGTCATATGATGCTAGTTTTAAGGCCTTTTTGCGCAGAGGATGTTTTTTTTTGCTAATTGACTCAGTCAAACTGTCCTGATGATGGGAATAAAATTCTCGAAAGCTTGACAAATTTGAAAAAAGTAGTTTTATTAGCCTATTTGCCTATGTGGTGATTATTGACTGCATGCTCACTTAAATTTTGAGTTTTTTCTTAACTTAGTTAGTCACGACTAACCTGCTATTTTTTCTGTTAATAAATATACTTTAAATTAGGTTTTGATTAAAAATACGATGAGCATAATGATCATGCAACCGGATCCTGTAAGTACTATAAGATTAAATACTGTATGATCGAAAAAAACGACGTACAGTTGGCTTAGAAATGACGATCGATGACATTCCCCATATAATTTTATATATAAAATGACAGCGATCTTCATCGCTGACGCCGTTTTTTTTTTTCGATCATATTGTGTTATCGAACCAAATTATATGAGAAAGCAAAGAATTATTTGGCGAGTAAAAAACTATTTTTAATTTAGAACAATACAAATAGATAAATTTCTTGCTCAGATACTTATACTCAAAATTAACTATTTCGGAAAAGACTTTGGAAAAAAGTTCAATTAATTAAAAAAACATAATTAATTAAAAAGAAATTTAAAGGTCCTGTGGATCTCATCCAGGTACGTAGGACTTAGAAAAATTGCCAAGATTAGAAATAATTTTGTATTTCATTATTCAAAAAAAAGATTAATTAATTTAACTTAACCTCGATAATACAATAGTTATAAAATTATTAATGAATCTGTTTTTCATTTCTTAGACTTCTTTTTCTCTGCTTCCTCCTCTTTCTCTTTTTCAATCTCTGTCACATATTTTTCAATAGAGTCTCCATCGAGCATTTCCAATGGTTCCCCATGTCTCATAACAGCAATTTCCAAGTTTTTCTGGCCAGATTGAACAACTTCTAAAAGGGCTCTAATAGCAAGTTTGATTGTACCCCTTTCTGTAGAAACTTCTTCAGAAGTATAGTATTTTTCTAAGAATTCTCTAACAGTCTTTGCTGATCTACCAGTGGCATTAGCTTTCCACTCATAATAAATACCAGAAGGTTCTGTTTGGTACAAATGAGGGGCTCCGTCGTAATCAAATCCACCAATTAAACATGAGATACCGAAAGGTCTTCGGCCATTACTTTGTGTATATTTTTGTTTCAGACTGGCAATGTATCTGAAGAAAAAAAATAGTATCATATACAGTCTAACAATTAAAGATAAAATCGTTACCTTGTGATATATTCTAACGTCACAGGGTCCTCAACTGTGAGTTTATGGCTCTGGCACTCAATTTGTGCTCTATTAATTAGAATTCTCGCATCAGCTGTAAGTCCAGCAAACGCCATAACAACATGGTCATCCAGTAAACAAATTTTCCTAACTGTACGTTCCTCTTGTAATTTTGCAACAGATTTTTTCTCTACTCCTAAAACTACTGTATTTGCTCCTCTAACACCAACCTTAAAAGTAAACAAACACTCAAAAATGTTACAGATTTCAATTATACCAGTTCCCATACACAAAAGTTGAAAATTCTCTTCATGGAAAAAATTTATAATTAACTTACCGCTGTGGATCCCTTCCGTACAGCCTCTTGGGCATACTCTACTTGTAATAAATGACCATCTGGAGAAAACACAGTAATAGCCCTATCATACCTTGAAGACATTTTTTAATAAAATAAAAATTATTTTTCTTTATATTTTAAAACGCCGAAACACAACCTCAAAAACTATTTTGCTTTGTAACTTTGGCGACTTGCAAATTAATGACAGTGACGTTTTAGACATTATTGACAAATCATGCTTCCAGTTCTATGGCCAACAGACACACAACATCCATGGTATGCTATATATTTTACCAGGGTTGTTGTCAGGTCAGAAAAGTGACTGTCTTGAGACGTCTATTTGCTGCACTTGCTCATAGATACGACGCGTGTGTACCTCGTAGATGTTGCCAGATTGTATATCAATTTAAAAAGATTTAAATTTTAATCAAAGATACAAAAACTCGTACAAACTCTTGTTCTCACCGTAGCGAGTAACTATTTCAAAAACCAAAATAATTTGGCAGCTGCTACTAATATCTTAAAATTTTATCTTCTACTCCTATCCATGCCCATATATTTATCTCTTTCTTCAATTTTCCAAGATTTTCTTGACTTTATGGTGAAGGAAATCATAATTGGATTCAGATTTCCGATAAATATTCCCTAGAAGTTGAATTCAAAAATAAAAAAGTATTAGTATTGATATAATGACTATAAAAATACAAATATAATTTTTTAATGATAAATATTACGGTTTACCAAAATAACTCACAAATTTGCCACATATTTTTATACGTTTTTTTTTCATAAAATTTCTTACTTAGATATCCAAGATATTTTATTTGTACACTTCAGTTTCGATGCCAGATGATTTTATCTAAAAAATTAAGAAAAACATATTAAAAAATCTAGAAAATTATGAAGCTGTAAGAAGATACTTTCTTACCTGTAGCCATCATCAACAGATTGTTCAACAAACATTATGGTGTAGCCTCCCTCACATATTTCGATAATCTCTTTGTAGTTGGGCCCATGCATTGTTGTCTATTGTTGGCTATGCAAGCTCAAGTTATCCCTGCTAATTTCCTAATATCATGGTCTTCTAGGTCTCTTAATTCCTTGTGGGTACCATGCTGTAATTTTTCTGGCCCATCTGTTGTCCCTCCTTCTTGCCAGGTATCCTGCCTATTGCCACATGAGGGATTTGACTTTTGAGGGTCTTTTGGTGTATGCACTCTATTCTTTTATGGTCTCTCTTGGTTATTCCCAGCATATTTCGTTCCATTGAGCGTTGTGCAACCTGCGCAGTTTCCTTTAATGTCCGTTTTAATTGTCCAGGTTTCGCCTATTTCATGACTGGTAATACACATTGGTCGAGTATTTTCTTCTTTAGATAGAATGGCATTCTGATCTGATTTGAATATGATTGAGTTTCTTCCATAAGTACACTCCATGCTAACTTAATTCTTCTGTTGATTTCTGGTGGTAGAGATCCCGAGCTTTGTATTAGTTGTCCCAAAAATATTTAATCTTCTATTATTTCTAGTGTTGTGCTATTTAGTAGAATGTCTTTTATATCTATTAGTTCATTGTACATTACTTTAGTTTTTCCTTGTAGAAGATACATTAATTTTGAGACCTACTTTACTGCTGGCTGTATTTAGTTCGTTAATTTGGGCTTGTAGTTCTTCGATCAGAACTATTGGCAATTAGGACTATGTACTATGTCATCAGCGAATTTTGATTGTTAAGATATTCCCCATCTATTTTTAATCCTTTATTGGTCCAGTCCAGTTGACGGAAGATTTCTTCTAGTGTTGCTGTAAACAGTTTTGGGGATATCGCGTCTTCCTGTCTTACCTGTAGTATATATCACTATATATTTTTTCAACCAATATTTTTTTTCACACTCAAAATCTGTCTGATATCTTCACAGCACTCAAATATACCCTCCCAAAAATTCCACATATAGCGCCCTGGAAAAAAAGGATATGCAACAACCAATCCACAATACCTACAGTGCAGCTCATACAGAGAACGTTAGTCCCTGAAGAGCTTGGAGCTGAAAAAAATGAAACATACTGAACATGAGCCAATGTGAACCTGTAAGACATTCAGACAAACTTAAAGATATCTACTCAAAATTACCCTGCCGTGGTTCCTTGGAGACTCATACAAAGACTGATAGTACTAGAGCATCTTGAACTACTGCTGCAAAAAAGATAGGAGCAACAAAAGAGTATTATATACATATACATAGAAATTGTGTCGACTTCAATTTGGCTTCGACATGACTCTCTAACCTGTTGCATACAGCTTTAAACAAAGTAGATGTTCAATCAACGTAAATCTACAAGATACAAGAAGAACCATACAATAATCTTCTAAAGGCGTTGAATCAAGTAGGCTACAGTAGTTCCTGGGAAGCCTCGTACTTATGGATCATTATATTCCCATTCTTGCTTCAAACGTAGTAGAACTTCAACCCATGTGAACCTATGAAACACAAGAACCCCACAAAATATTATGGAGGCATCGACTCAAACTGGCTGCTGTAGTTCCCTCTAAGCCTCATTCCAATACCTGTAAAAAATAGTAACCAAAAAAGAGACTACCATATAGGTAGAGATTGTGTAGGCCTCAATTTGACTCCGACATGACTCTGACTTGTTGTATACAGCTTCAAACAAAGTATATCTTCAACAAGCGCGAACCTATAAAGCACAAGAACCCTACAAAAATCATCTGAAGATGTCGACTCAAACTGGAAGCTCATAGAGGCTCTATCAGTCTTTGTAGAGCGCCAAGACCTACTCTTGTAAGAAAATAAACCAGACTTAGATATAACCCTGTTAAGTTTTGGACCTCAAAAATTTAAACTTGAACTAATGATGACCTCAAAAAGTCCTACAAATTTCTACTGCACTACTAAAAAACTCGATTCCCTTTTTCTAGGCCCTAGAATCATACCTGAACTTGAATTGAAAATACAAAAATAAGTTTAAAACATTTATACTATTTGTATTGAAAATTTAGTTATTAAAATGCTTAGATATTGGCATGTGTTTACTCTAAAGTAGTAATAAGTAAAAGAAAGTGAGTTAAAAAATTAGGAAGTTATAGAGAATTGCCTACACCTACACGTTTAATTTAAGAAAATAAAAATATCTGTTAAACATTCTCTAAATTTCAATTTGACTAAGATAATATGAAGAATGATATTAATTATAGTTAAATTTTTTTTTGAAATTGTTTAAATCAGAGAGAATCTAATCCCAAATAACGTTAAAAAGAAAACACTAAAACAATAAAAGACTTGGAATCTTCATTATCCTAGCACCCTCGATTCAACATTACAGAGACTATAATAGGATGATTATTCTATTAAATTAAGTTTAAAATTGTGACCTAGAAAGTCATCGACATCAAATACATTCTTAAGCAAAACCGATAGACATAACAAGCCAATAAAAAGACTGATAGACATAACAACCCAACAGACCTCTTCTGCTTTCGGGAGGAAAGCTGTTCGTTGCTTCTGTGAGGAGACTCCACAGAAGACTTTAGCCCCTGCGGAGCTCAACCCAACGTGCTTCTGTGAGGACGCTCATACAGGGGACGTTAGCTCCTGCAGAGGTCAACTCAACACTCTGCTTCGCTTCTGTGAGGGGCCCCACAGGTGACTTTAGCTCCTTCAGGACCGCGCTCACGCCAGCTCAGGGAAATAAACGAACAACCCAATAAACCAGACAAGAAAATGTACATTTAAAATAGCTTACTTTTTTGCAGAGAATTCCCCACGATGTGCCTCCCTGGCACAAAAAATATACGCTCACTAACCTGAAACAACAGAAAAAATACGTTAGTTGAAAATAATAAAAAAAGAAATAAATCTTATAACATACCTGATTTTATCTCGTTCCATGCTCTCCATCCTACTGTCTTTTTCCAGAAAATCTTCGTTCCAGACCTGCACCAATCGTCGTGCCTCCTCAGAAACAGCCTTAAGGACAAGAGTACCTTAAGACAACAGTTAGTGAAGAAGGTACTACGACTGAGACCTTGCACATCGGACATCTCAAGGCCACAAAAATTATTGATTTACTACTATATATAACAAGAAATATTTAAGGTGTCTTTAACGAGATAAATCTGTATAGAGAACTCTAGAGATTAAATAATAATAAATGAGGAAAATATGAGTCAATGGTATTTTCAACGAGAATTTACTTTACTCGAAAATACAGTTAATGTATTAATACAGTTAATATTTTAAAATTATCAAATTTAAGTTTTATTATATTAAACATAAAAAATGAATGTTTTAGTACAAAAGGTACAAGTTTATTAAAAAACATGATACCTCACGCCTTTTTTTAAATGTAAATGCAATTAGAGAATAATTAAACAAAAGTAAAATGATGATAGAAAAAATTTGATTTAATCCTATGACAATGCCCTACAGAAAACTATTACAGAGACTGAAATAGAGTGATTATTGTTTGAAATTTAGTTTAAAATTACAGAAAATAAAAATTATAATGTCCTCTAGATTTTTTTGAAAAGAACCTAATCCCAAACAACGCTAAAAAGAGAACACTAAAACAATGGAAGACTTGGAATCTCCATTGCCTTAGCACTTTCGATTCAACATTACAGAGACTAGGATAGAGTGATTAAATTTAGTTTAAATTTACAGAAAATATAAAAGATATCCTTTAGGGTTTTTAGAAAGAATCTAATCCCAAATAACACTAAACAGAAAACACCAAAATAAGAAAGGCTGTGAACCTCAATTACCTTAGCACTCCCCATTCAACACTACCGAGACTATAGATAAAAATATAAAAAAGAATAATTTCTGTTATAAAAATACTTGAAAAAAGAAAATGGTTAATTGAAGATCCGATATCTGGCACACATTTCATAAACTTTGAGCAAAAAAAAATGTTTTTCAATAATAAATTAAACATAACAGAGTAAAAGCCAAATTGGGTTTAAATTATTTTGAGAAATAGACACCTCGAAAAAAATTAAAGATATTATTTCTTGTGATTTTTACAAACGACAAGAAATAAAAAGGATATATATGATTCGAACCAAAGAAAATATGAACGCAAATAAAAAGTGTGACCTTAAAATGCTGTGAAAAGCCTTAGTACAGCCCCAGAACCACGAACCGACGCGACCGTTATAATTATGCTTCAGAAATGGTTCTCCTA